TCCAAGAGAAAGTGGCTTGCTATATCAGCTAATTTCCATTGCTACATCCTTGCCAAAACCAATCAGATGACAAGAAGACAGTGTGTGTCACAATGAATTGTGAGTTTAAGAACCAGATCAAGTCCTGACCTTCCCCAACTCCAAAGACAATAGATAGGCAAACTCCTCTAGAATGAGAATGTGATTACAGCAGGAAGAAGAGTCCTTCCAAAGAATTTATGACCAAACAAGAGATAGAGAACATTATAAAATGGAAAATGGATAATTTTGATTACATTAAATTTAAAAGGTTTTGCACAAAGCCAATGCAACCAAGATTAGAAGGGAAGCAGAAAGCTAGGAAACAATTTTTACAGCCAGTGTCTCTGATAAAGGCCTCATTTCAAAAATATATAGAGAACTGAGACAAATTTATAAGAATACAAGTCATTCTCTAATTGATAAATGGTCAAAGGATATGAACAGGCAGTTTTCAGATGAAGAAATTAAAGCTATCTATAGTCATATGAAAAAATGCTCTAAATCACTATTGGTTAGAGAAATGAAAATTAAAACAACTCTGAGGTACCACATCACACCTATCAGATTGGCTAACATGACAAAACAGGAAAATGATAAATATTGGAGGAGATGTGGGAAAATTGGAACACTACTGCATTGTTGGTGGACTTGTGTACTGATCTAGCCATTCTGGAGAGCAACTTGGAATTATGCCCTAAGGGCTATAAAACTGCGCATACTCAGCAATAACACGTCTAAGTCTGTATCCCAAAGAAATCATAAAAATGGGAAAAGGACCCACATGTACAAAAATATTTGTAGCAGCTCTTTTTGTGGTTGCTAAAAATTGGAAATTGAGGGGATGTCCATCAGCTGGGGAATGGCTGAACAAATTGTGGTATATGAATATAATGGAATACTATTGTCCCATAAGAAATGATGAACAGGTAGATTTCAGAAAACCTGGAAAGACTTACATGAACTGATGCTGAGTGAAGTAGCAGAACCAGGAGAACATTGTACACAGTAACAGCAACATTGTGAGATGACCAACTTTGATAGACTTAACTCTTCTCAGCAATATAAGGATCTAAGACAATTCCAAAAGACTCATGATGGTAATTGCTATCCACATCCAGAGAAAGAACTATGGAGTCTGAATGCAGTTTGAAGCATACTATTTTCTCTTTTTTTGTTTTTGTTTTTTCTTTCTTGTGGTTTTTCCCTTTGGTTCTAATTCTTCTTTACATTGTGACTAATGTGAAAATATATTTAATATGATTGTACATGCATAACCTATGTCAGATTGCATGCTGTCTTGAGGAGTAGGGAGCGGAGAGAGAGGGAGAAAATTTAGAACTCAAAACCTTACAGAAGTGAATGTTGAAAACTTAAAAACAAACAAATAAATAAAATGTTTTACAAAGACTCCTTCCAAGAAATGGAAATAAATACTATTGGTTACAAAATCTAGAGGGTTCATTCAGTAAACCAATCAGAGGTATTTATTGAATCTCTTCTTTGTGGAAGACACTGTGCTACTAATACTCCTTAATGAATACAAGGAAGTCTCTGCTTTCAAGGAACAACTATCGGATCACAAACAATAAGTGAAAATCTTGTTTCCTAGAGAAAACCCTTTCAGCCCAATTGCATATTCTTCCCAAGATTTCAAATGAAGCTAACCTAGGCTTCTAGATTTAAGTTTGCAAAGAAAGAAAGGAAACAAGCATTTACTGAGTAACTACTATGTGTCAAGAACTATGTGTTAAGCACTTTACAAATATTATCTCATTTGATCCTTAGAACTACTCTGAGAAGTCAGTGCTATTATTATCCCCATTTTACAGTTGAGGAAACTGAGGACAGCTGAGGCTAAGTGACTAGGGGCACACAGCTAGTAAGTGTCTGAGGCCAAACCTGAAGTCTGGTCTTCCTGATTCCAGGTCCAGCACTCTACCAGCTGCCTCTAAGCAAGGGGCTATTATTGCTCAGCGCTTATACTACTGCAGCATCTCCATTGAGACTACTCTGTGCTCCACTCCTCTTCAGAATACTGTCTGTACAGTATTCCCTGATACACATCCCTTTGAACAAGGGCTTCATAAACAGGTCTTTCTTCTCTTCCCCCAGATTCCCCCCAAAACAAATAGGGTACAACCTAATAGTTAAATTCTTATTAGCAAGAAGCATGTGGATTTTTCATTTTATCAACTACATTATAAAGTAGGAGTACATAATTAGCATTGTATGATACTTATATAACTTGTTATTTGTTATGTAATATATTCTGAGAGAGATGACCACATGGTGGAAAATTCATTTTCAACAGGGAAAATCATAAGTCCTGAACTATAATTTCATAGGTAAGACACCCAATTCTTATTTGGTATACCCTAGAGAACAATAACTGGGAGGGGTGGGGAAATGCTATTGGTAATTATTAATAATAATAACTGATTTTTAAAATTGTATTTTGAAATACTACACAATCTATTATTGTAACTGATTCTTACAACTATGTGAAATAGATGTCAGAAATTTTTGCAGAGAAGTGAAGTTACACATTTAAAGCTACTTTAACAATTTAAAAGGTTTGTGATTTTGTGGGTATGAGTGTTCTGCCCCCCCAAAAAGATCACACCTATATACCTTAGTATATAATATAGTCTTTCTTGTGTCCTAAATATTTATTACCTGACAGGCCACCTTCTGGTGGCGAGCATCTCTAATGTTAGGTTGGTCCTCAGGTGACAGACATACACATTTGTCATTGAATCCATACTTGGCTCTGACCATATTGTGCTCCATTGGCACAGCCTTCAGAAATCTATGGCTACTCCACAATAGAGCCTCAGAAGAGCTCTTTAGCAGATGCCCAAAATCATGTGGTTGGTAAATTCTTATCATTAGAGGTATCATGATATGGATTTAAATCCTAATTTCTTCACTTATCAACTATTGCATCCTTGGGCCCTCCCACTCTCACTTTACCTCAGTTTCCTCAAACTCTAAAATGAGGACATAATAGGTTCACTGTTTACCTCATAGGGATGTTGTGAGGAAAGCACTTTGTAAACCGGAAAGCTATATATATATAAGCGAAATGGCAATAATCCCTTCCCTTTGTTTTGGCAGTCCAGGATGGAAATGCTGCTACACAGTTACTCATAGGAAGGTTTCTGTATGGCAAATACCAAGAATGAAATGCTGTAGAATCTGAATTTCAGAGGTAGAAGGAAGCTTGGAGTTTATCTAGTTTTCAGTCCCTTCCCTTTATGGGGTAGGAAACGGAGACCAAGAAAAGGAAAATGACTTCAACAATTTATTGAAATGGATAAACTTTGCTTGAGGGAAAATTTTTGTCCTATCTGGAATTTCTTTGAGCATCAGTGGTATAGGAAATCATGTGTACAAGAGCTTAAATCAAGCTCTACTTGAGCCAACAGCACAGAAATAAGGGAAGGTTTGGTTTCATAGCTTGCTAGAGAAGCATCACCTGTTCTGAACTTTATGAATAGAGAAGCAGCATGGTATAGTGGAATAAAAACTGGCTTTGGAGTTGGGCTGGATTTGAAATCTGAATGCCACTTATCGAGTCTATAAATTGTAGGACGTTGATTAGACCAAGGGTTCTTAACCTGGGGTCTATGAACTTATTTTTAAAAAAAAATTTTTTTGGCAACTGTCTTTCAATATAATTGATTTCCTTTGTAATCTTACTTATTTTCTTTTATATATTTAAATACATTACTCTGAGAAGAGGTACAGAGGCTTCTCCAGACTGCCCAAAGGGTCCATGACACAGAAAGAGTTACATACTCCCATAATACTAGATGATGTCAAAAATCTTTTGCGGCTCTAAATCTATGATCCTTACATGACACCAGAGATGTCAGATATGGAAGCATGTGACCCACAACACTCCCAAGTGCTCCTGAACTATATTAAAATGTAATTGGGAAATATTTAACAAAAAAATAAAAATAAAACATTAATATTTTATTTTCTAAGTTGGTCTGCCACCCACAGAGATCATCATGAATGATTTAGTGGTCCCCATTTCTATTTGAGTTTGACACCACCGCCTTACACCATTCAGGTGAGGATGCCACACAAGAAAACCATTTTGATACCTAGCATGTGTCAGAAAACTACAGGTGGTTCCAGTTTTTTTTTAAATTAAATTTAATTTAATTTTAAAAAAAATTTTTTTTCCATATGCTTTTGAGTTGAAAATTTTTTTCCCTTTTTCTCCCCCCCCAAGACGGTGCACAATCTGACATAGGCTTTACATTTACATACCCATTAAACATATTTTCACATTAGTGAAGTTGTAAGTAAAAATTAAAACCAATAGGAGGAACCATCAGAAAGATGAAACAAAATTCAACTTAAGGTAAAAATAAGCGAGAGCGATTCGACTTCCATAGTTCTTTCTTTGGATGCGGACAGCATTTTCCATCCCGAGGCCTCTGGAGATGTCTTAGATCCTCGTAATGCTGAGAAGGGTTCAGTTTAACATTCTTAGTCATTGCATAACGTGGCTGCTATTGTATACAAAGTCCTCTGGGTTCTGCTCACTTCACTCAGCATCAGACCATATAAGTCTTCCCAGGTTTTTCTGAAGTCAGCCTGTTCATCATTTCTTATAGAACAATAGTATTCCATTACATTCATATACCACAACTTGCTCAGCCATTCCCCAACTGATGGGCATCCTCTCAATTTCCAATTCTTTGGGTGGTTCCAGTTTTTCACCAGTGTTCCCAGAAACCATCCATCAAAGAATGCAGACATTTTCCCACAGGAACTCTTTTGACTGGGAGTTGTGTTCCTACCCAAGGCCTCAGTATCAAATAAAACAGTAGGTTCTAACCTTTTATAGTATGAGGACCCCCTTTCAACTTAGTATTTGTTGATTTAGAACACAGTAACAAAAAACAATTATGGATTCAGTAATACTTTTAAATGAACACCACATACATACATTTGAAATATGTATGAAACAGATTGCTTGTTATTTATTAATTTTCCATTTTCTTATTTAAGCAATAAAGTGAACCTCTTGCAATAACTCCATGACTCCCACGCCCTAACCTGGGACCCAAGGCCCATAGATTGGAAGACACTAAAATAAAACCAAATACAATCAACAATAATGCAATGTAAAATCAAGGATACAAAAAAGTTTAACCCTTAATTAGCATGTAAAGTAGTAAAATTGTGCTTCAAGTCACAGGCTGTCAGAGAAAGAAGGCATCTTAGGAAATATAACCAAAAATGTCAGAGCTGCTAGGGAACTTTAGAAACCATCTAGTTCAATTATTCTAAACTCTTCATTTTATGGAGGTGGCAATTAAGGCCCAAAAGGCCCATGAGGAAGCGCCCATTATTAAATGTTAATAAGCATTTTTGTTCGGGGCAAAGAGTGAACAGAGTGAGCCTCTGAGCCAAAAAGACTTGGCTTCAAGTCCCAGCCTTGACACTTACTGGTGATTTGACCCTGAACACAAGTCACTCAACCTCTCCAGTGCTCTAGGCAACTCTAAAACCTTAAGTTGCAGAGAAGGTGTCAACTTGCATTTGCAGATGGAATTCCCTCCTCTGGAAGGATATACCAATTTGATATTTCAATGAAATCACAGGTCCAGTCCCTATCCCTCTGGCACCTAAATTCCAGGTTAAGTTGTTAAGTGCTGAGGGCATAAATATAAAAAGTGACACAGAATCCCTGCTCTGGAGGACCTTAATTGGTGTTCATCACAGGAACATAGATTTAAAGCAGGAAGGGACCTTTATAGGCCATCAAGTCCAATCCTCTCATTTTACAGATGAGGAAACTGAGGCACGGAGAGATTTTTGATCTCTAAGGTGTTGTCCAGCTCTTATATGAAATTAATTCAACACTGAGAGCCCTGGCTAAGTGATACAGAGGTGAACAGTCATGGTCCCCATGGGTCCGTCCTGTGAAATGGAACCAGGATATTCAGGGAGGGCATCACTTCTTAGTGACCGTAGGCCTGCTATCTGGGGACTCCCAAAGCGCCCGATTTCCTTCCTGTCGAAGACAAACGGACATAAATATTTCTGTCAAGACATCTGCAAATTCTGAAGTTATTTGCCGCAAGGCGTGAATGGGAAAAGCCGCGCGTGTACAATGGGGTGGCATGGTAAAAGAAACAACACAGGCCTCGGAGCTCCCCTCTATGGGGCACCAGACCTTCGCCCCCGCCCCACCCGGCCGGTTTCCAAGGCAACTCAGACCGCCACAACCTTAGGTCGTCGCTCAGAAACGTCACTTCCTTTTCATTGACATCCGGGTCGTCGCCCAGGCAGGCTCCCTACCGTTTTCCCTCTTCGGACCTGCTTGGAGAGACGCCGCCGCCGCCGCCTCATCTCTCGCTTCCCAGGAGGGTGTTCGCCTCACGTCGGGCGGGGCTCTGGCCTTCCCCCTTTTTCCTACGCGCGCAGCCGCAGCCCATCTTTATCACTTCCGGTCTGTGCATTTCCGGGTCGCCTCTGTCCCTCAGGGTACGGGTCTCGCTAGCCCCTCGGGTGGCCGGAGCAGCGAACGCCCCTGGCACGGCTCCAGCTCCTCCACCTCCTGCACTCTCCCTGCCACGGCCCGGGGCGGCAGCGGCCTCCTCAGTAAGTGTGATCCATTAGCGTGGGGCGGCCGCAGGCGGAAATTCCCCCCTCTGCAAGCGGGGCTTCCCCGGGCTCAGGGCTTCAATCAGACCGGGCCCTGGGGAGAGGCCGGGCCCGGGCGATCTGAGGGAGGGGCGGCCGTGAGCGGAGATCGGAACGTGGGAGGAGAATCGGACTCGACGACCTCTAAGGTTTCTTTCAGAGTTAAGGAGGTCCTAGGGTGATCCAGAGGGGAGGACTGCTGTGGGACTCCTGGGGAGGAGCGAGAGTGGCGACCCCGGAGGGCGGCTTGGGGAGGAGGGGCGGGAGCCAGGACCCGAGGTTGTAGTGAGGGGAGACGGACCGAGAAGGGAGCAGCTTGACGTAGAGTGTCTCCTAGGGGGAGCTGAGAGGAGGAGAGGTCTAGCTTGGTGATGCTGGATTTGGACCCTAAGAGGAAGGACAGATGGGAGTGAACTGAAATCTAATCCCTGAGAAAGGCTGGAGCTGGGATTGCTGCAAATGGGAGAGGGGGGCGGGGAAAAGAGAGGGGTTTTTTTTGGAGGAAGATAGATTGTGGGGATGCGAGAACATAACGGGACTTGATTTTGTAAATCTCTAGGTTATCTATGAAAATTAGGGTGTGTGTATACATACATATATATTCGTTTATATGTAACTGCCACCTCAGTTCTTAAGATCTTTTTATGTAGTACTCAGTTGGCCCTGGAAGAGGTGGTCACCATCTCATTTTTGTGGCTTTGTCTAAGTGTAGTTTTTCCAGAAGCCCGGGTAGTTAGTGTCTTCTGGAGGAGGAGATAAGGGAGGCAGGGAGGGAGAAAAACAGCTTAGAAATAAAACCAGGGGAGTTTGGCTTTGGGTGAAAAGGTAGCTCCAGGCATCAAGATAAATCCTACTCACTGAGAAGTAGGTGAGGAATCTTTTTGATCCCATAGTTTGTAGGGCATATCAGTATTGTAAACAGCAAGGTAGCTTACTTACAAGGTAGCAGGATAGTCAGAGATTGGTCTCCAGGTTCTGAGACCGGTGAGGATACCTTTGCATAAGTTGTCAAGGCTGTTGTTTAAGACCCATGGAGACCCAGAAGTTTGGAGACAAAAAAAGATTCCTTAGGCAATTCTTCCAGTCCTTTTCCATTCAAGGGGGGTGCCTCCTTCCTGGTCGCACAAGGAGCTAGCTGCTATTAAACAGGTAAAGGCCAACTTTTAGCAATGCAGATCTCACTCTGAGGTTCAGAAATCTGGGTACTTACTGGTACTTTGGATTCATTTTGAAAGGAAGAAGAACGGATGGGTTAGGTTGAATCCAAGCAAGTCTTTGAATGTTCGCTGTCAGTGGAAGAGGCCCTGTGGATTTGCTTCAGTTGTACAAGTTTCCTTTTGGGAATCCCATCAGAAGAATATAAGAACTGGTCACTCTTCCATTGCATCTGTACTGAAGAAATTCCTATGAAATTATGCCGGCATGAGGTTGCTCTATCCTGTGGTTTTAGGGAGAAATGTGATAGAAACAACTGTTCTCTTTTCTGTGTGGTTAATGGTGTGCTTTCACCATGCTGCTTCTGAAAATGTTTGTGCTTGAATGGGCTCACTGAGCTGAAGGTGAGCTAATACTTATTTGGCCACCTTAATTACTTGGGCTGATTTTGGCTTTCAACCAGCATACCTTTCCATTGAGGTGATTAAAAAATCCTGGTAGAGCTGCAGAATCTCTAATTGGCTTTTTGCTTTTTCAAAAGGGGACTTTATTTTGAAGCATTGTTTATGCTGACTGGGCACCTTACCTTCTTGCAGCTGTCAGACTGCTTTAGGGATATTTACAGTTGAGGCTTTTGGGAGAGTGACAAGTGTTTGCATCCTGATCCTCAAATTGCTTTGATAAATTAACTGCTATTGCAGCTGGGCTGCTTTAGTCTTCTATAACTGTGCTGCTTTGCATAGAGTATAATTTTGTTCAGTTCTCAAAGTGCTGGGAATACTGGCTGGAAATGAATAAAATGCAAACATTATGCCCAGAAAAAGCTTTTGCTGTGACCAGGGACGATGCAGTCTTTATTCCCTTTAAAAAATGGCATGGAGGAGCTAGCGGCCAGTGTACTAAAGCTAATTAGTCTTGGTCTTTGGCCCCTCCCCCCATAAAAAAGGGTTTACCTTTTCTCATTGAGGAGAAGAGGTGGTACTAAAGGAATGAAAGAAGGGAAGAGTTTGTTCTATTCTTGCACTGTGCCAGGAGGTAGAAATACTTTCAGTAGAATTTTATTTTTGGAGTTTGATTATACCTGTGTGGACTTTTCCAACATAATAGCCCTTTCTAAGTTAAGCTTGCTTAATTTATCAATTTTAAAGGCAACTAAAACTTTGTAACCAGATTTAAACAAAATTAGGAGCCACAGAATTACAGATTTGGAGCCAGACAGGGACTTTAAAGTTCATCTTCCTACTTCTCTCATTTTGTAAAAGAGGAAAAAGGCTGAGGGATGATCTAGCCAGCTTAGGGGAGGGGAAGAGTATAAGTGTGGGGAGAAAGAGAGAGAGAGAGAGAGAGAGAGAGAGAGAGAGAGAGAGAGAGAGAGAGACAGCGAGAGCGTGAGCGAGCGCGTACCTGCTATATGCCAGGCACTGTATTAAGGGCTTTTTATAAATATTATCTTATTTAATCTTCACAACAACACTTCAAAGGTGGATACAATTATTATCCCCAGTTTACAGTTGGGGAAACTGAGGTATACAGAGGTCCTAGGTGATTTGCCCAGGGTCACACAGCTAAGTGTCTGAGGCCAGATTTGAACTTGGGTCACTCCAGGCCCAGCATTGTATCCATTTGTACCACAAGCTGCCAGTTTATTCCTTTGGCCCCTAATTTAAAATGAATTCACTCCTAAATGTTAGAGCTGTAGGAGCCCTTTGATTGTCTAGTCCAACTTTCTCATTTTATAGCAGAGGAAATGTTGCTAGAAGGGTTGCTTAAAATCACACAGCTAATTAATAGCAGAAATTGTACTGGAACCCTGCCTCCCAGTCCAGCTCTTCTTCTACTACTTGTGTATTGTGAATTGTATGATTAAGAATGATAGCCAAAGATTGTTTTATATGCCAAATGCCTTTTTTCATTACTTATTAATGTTGATATGTATTATCTACAAATGTGGACTGTTCTGTAGCTAAAAACAATTAGCCTATGTAGAAAACACAAGCTCTGTTTGAAGGAGTCTGGGTTTTAGCTTTTGTTTTTTAAGCTACTTGGTTCAGAGCAGATATGAGCTCTAAGAAGAAGCTTAAGTGATTATTAGGTTTTCAGTCCTTCAGAAAAAGTTGTCTGTTGGATCTAGGCAGCTTATGACAGTTTCTTTTAGATAAATTATATAAGTAAATACTTGGATAGTTTAATTAATGCAATTTATGTTTATGTCCTTTGGTAAGTTCATCCCAGAGGGCCTCCCAGTGAGTTTTTTCTTGTTCTCTTGATAGAATGAATTGTCAGTTATCTTTTCCTATGGCTGTGTGACCAGCCCATCTTCCCTCCCCCCTTTTGGTCATTCATTTCTCTTATGACATCATTTTATGTCACTTCTCCTGAAGAATTCCTCCTTTTCTTCTGTCCATTGCAGTCTGGCTTCTGACCTCACTACTCAACTGAAGCCTCTTTATCCAAGGTTACCAGTGATCTCTTAACTCTTCAATCTAATGTCTTTTTCTCTGTCCTTGCTGTCCTCGTTCTCTGTTTTATTTTCACTTGTGTAGTTTTCTTATATTGTCTACAATCTCCTTTTGGGCATTTTGTCTTCTGTTGTCTTCAGTGCCACCATTCTCCTCTTATTCTGTTCAGCTATTCCATTTCAGCATCCTTTGTTGCATCATCCATGTCCTACCCCTTTACTGTGGATATTCAGCAGTTATCACAGTGTCTATAACATAGTAAGGCTTAATATTTGTTGAATTGTGGTGTCACTACACTCATGCCCATCATATATGTTTGGGTAACCTCCATTGCCCTTTGGGGTGATCCTTCTTCTAGTTCATCAGAAATTGCAATATTCTGTGACTCAGCTATCTAGTATTAAAAAGATGGACTGTTTTAGGAAGATGCTTGGGGTTCATTAAAAGGAACATGCAGGTTGCCTTTGGGAAACTAAATTGTTCTTTCTATTCGTTTCTGAACTCAGGTCATTGTCCATTTGCTTTGTCTGTCCAAGAGATAAATACAGATGGACAAGCTGTATAAATGGCCCATCCAGCTGCTTAGTATATAGTCTGAACAATAGACATTCTTCATGTAGTTGGTTTTTCCTATGTGGATGGTTAGTCTTGTTGAGTATTTTCAGTCTTAATTTAGGAGATTCTGCATTCTTCTAGATAAATTTTGCTGCAATCAGCACAGTGTCAGTCCATCAACTATCATTTGTTAAGCACCTACTGTGTGCCAGGTTGTATGCTAAGCACTGGGGATACAAAGAAAGGCAAAAAACAGTTGCTGCCCTCAAGGATTTTACAGTTTAATCAGGGAGACAACATGCAAACAACCACATAAATACAAGGTATACATAGGATAAATTGGGGATAATTTCAGAGGGAAAGCACAGAGATTAAAGAGGACTGAGAAGAGCAAGTTGCAGAAGGTTGGCCTTTAGTTGAGATATGAAGGAAGCCATGGAATTGAGGAGGGAGAGTTTCAGGGATGGGAGACAGCCAGTCAAAATGCTCAAGATGGAGTGTTTGAGG